GAGCACTCTCCTTTTCTAGCAGGGTTACAGAGGGGTGATGCGGCCACCCACGCTCCACTGCACCGCACAGCGTATACCTACAAGGTCACTCTCTAGACTAGCGCCCCACTGCTTCCTGTGCCTGTCAGAAGGGAAGGCCTTCTTTACTGCTGTCGACAGTGTGCTCAGGTCCCCTTTCACTCACTAACAGAGTGACCACTTGACCACCTAGATAGGAACACTCATAGCAGCACATCTTCCGTGCCAACTGATGTAACACCAAGCCTTTGACAGAATTCATTTCATCCTTACAATTCCGTATGGAAGTCAGTATTACTCTGTAAAGCAGGGACAGAAGGCAGAGGAAAGTCAGAGAACATTCTAGAGACACAGCTGTTCAGCAGCAGAACTGGGGCACAGACAGGCGGGAGGCTCTCTCAGCATGCTGAGCCCACAGCATCTGTGGGTGGGAGGCTTCCCTACAGAATGCCTGCACTCTCAGGATGAACTCAAGTTTCTCCAGAGGATGTCTACAGATGCCCCAGATGCTTTCGTTTTAGCTGACAAGTTTAAACCAGTTCATTAGTAAGGCAGGGTGGGGATCTTTCTTTCTCATGTTGTCCTGGGTTTTGCTCTCCAGGTTTAAGAACCCCCAGCATAAGCCTGTGAGTGTCATCTTTCTGTTCACTAGAAGAGAAGAGCTACTGAGGAAACATGAGCTAGCTCTGGCAAGTCTCACTGCTCCAGCTACTTCACTCAATTTTAATTTCTGCTTTGGGGTATTTTTGCAATGTGTATAAAACATATTGGTTCAGTACACACATAAGATAGTTGAACAGACACTGACTGTGTGGAGGTATCACTCAAAAACCATTCTCTCTAGAGAGCATGACCCTGCCTGAGTGAAACTGAGGCATGGCCCATCCTAAAGCGGGTGTCAATCACCATGCTCTATTGGCTTCCCTTTAACTGTCAGACAGACAGAAGGACGGCCCCTCAAGCAGCACAGGGGTTTATCTAGCTGGTGTTGCGGGGGGCTGCCCGTTCAGCTGACTCATGGCAAAGCCCACCGTAAGCCCCACTCACAGCTCCGCGCGTGCTCTTTGGAGAGCAGGTAGTTGGCCAGAGGTGGCGTGTAGGTCAAGCACTGGATGGTGGAGTTCAGGAAGCAGGTGTTCCCCAGGTTGTGCAGCCCTGCACCAACACGGAAAACGCGCTCCCATCTTAGAGACAGTCTCTCCATAGGGAAGAGCACTTTCTGTGGGGCGGGGACTCCATCACCTCCACTTCCAGACACACGCTCGGAGCCTAGAAGAGAAAGAGATGAGACCAGGTCATCCCAGGGCCCTTCCATGCTCAGTCCAGAGGTCAAGCCCTGTGGATAAGATGCAGCAGGTCCTAGCTCTGGGCCATACTGTGTGCTAAGGAACCCACCCTACTTCTGTATTTTCAACCCCGACTCCCCCCCCCCCCCCCCCCCCCCCCCCCCCCCCCCCCCCCCGCCCCCCGCCAATTAACTGCGTGTGGGTGTACATGAGAGTAAGATGGCTGTGTGCTGGGGTCGAGGACAGCTTCTAGGAGTCAGCTCTTCACCTCCCACCAGGCCGAGGCAGTGTCTGCTGTTGTTTCTCTGCTGGCTCACACTCCAGGCTAGCTGTCCGAGAGCTTCCTGGTGACCCTCTCGTCTCCTCCTCCCACCTCACTGCAGGTGTGCCGGGGTGACAGGGACAACGGGGCACCAAATGTGGCCGTTTGTGTTGGCTCGAGTCGCAGACTCACAAAGCTAATGCTTTCGTTAGCTGAGCCGTTTCCTTGGCCCCTGGGACCTGCTTTCTGACCTCATTAAAGAAGGGGTGTTCAAGTACACAGACATCCTTCCTACTCACCCTGTATCATGACATCTATCACGATAGTCCAGTGACTCCTGGAAGCCCAAAACTACGCCAGCTGCCAACTCAGGGCTACCCCAGTACCTGGTTTCCTGGCCTGTAGTTCGTCTCCGCTCTTGTGGCGACTAGCTCCCTCGGCCCTGGAGTTCAGCAGCACATATTTGCTCTTCAAGGACTCTAGCTGGTAGGAGAAGCTCTTGCTGGCAGGTTCGAATTCAATCCTCTGCAAAAGGACCTTCTTGGCAGAGGCAGCCAGCAGCTTGCCCAGGTCCCCATCCTCTGCTGAGTCCTTGCGGCCAGGCTTGAGAGCCTCCTTCAGCTTATCGACTATTGGCATGGTGCATTCCTGTGGGGTGGGAAGGACCCCAGACTCATAAGCAGCTATTCCCAGAACAAGCACATGACTTCTGCTTGCTCACTATATACAGCAGCCACCAGGACAGTTACCCAAAAGTACAGGGGCAGTCAAAGACAGAGCAAGCAGCGCTGCATGTGCCAATGGGCATTATTTCCTGAAACTACTCAAAAGACAGTGGATGGCTGATTCCCATACTCTGGTTACCAGCAACAAATGTGAGAAATGAACTGGGGCGGGGGTTGCAGAGACGGCTCAGTGTACGCACTGCTCCTGAAGAGGAGGCAAGTGTGGTTCCCAGCACTCATGTCAGGAAGCTCACAACCACCTACAGCCAGATCCAGGGGATCCAACACCCTCTTCTAGAATTCACAGGCACTTGCACTCACGTGGGCACAAACACACATATCTATAACTAAAAATAAATATTAAAAAAAAAATAAACTCTTGTCTGGGAATAGTCCACACACCTTTAGTCCTAGCACTTGGGAGGCAAATCTATGTGGATCTCAGTCAAGTGGAGATCAGCCTGCTTTATACAGAGTTTCAGGCCAGCCAGGGCTACACAGTGAGACTCTTTCTCTCTCTCAAGATTTATTTAATTTTATGTGTATGGGTATCTTGCCTGCATGCACAGATATGTGCAGCACGCGCATGCTTGGTGCAATAGATCCCCTGGAACTGGAGTTACAGTTGTGAACTGCCATGTGGGTGCTGGGAACTGAACCCAGGTTCTCTAGAAGACCAGCCAGTGCTCTTAACCAGAGACATCTCTCCAGCCCCAGAGAGACACCTTCTTAAATTAAAAACCAAACACACACACACACACACACACACACACACACACACACACGAATGAATCAGCATATAAGTCAGATGGCCAGGCACATCTGCACAGGCCTCTCTATGTTCTTCTACAGAGGCCAGGGGCCACATTCGATACTGAGCATGTGAAACAAGCCTGGTTCAGGCCAAGAGCTGCGAAGATTCACCATCAGGTTTCCATGGCCTACTTTAAGAAAACAACACAAGGCATCTCCATCTCTCACCTGGCAAGTGTTGAAACAACAATATCTTACATAAATTGGTTCAAATAAAACATATCATAAAAATCTATTTTACCTTTTTATTTTTCTCGTGTAGCTGCTGTGAACTTTGACCTTGCATCTGGCCATGCTGTTTCTAGTGGACACACAGACTCTTTCTCAGCTGGGCATGGCTTACTCCCAGCACTTGGGAAGTTGAGGCAGAAGGACAACTGTGAATTCCAGGCCAGCCTGGGCTACAGAGTATGACCATGTCTCAGACACACAGACACAGATACACGCACACGCACGCACATGCACAACCTCTCTATCCCTGAGTGAAGAGCTTGAGAAGCTAAGTTAAGTGGGCAGCAGGACACCGGCTCCAAGAGCGGCAGACCTGTGTCCTTTATCTCCGCACAGCCCCAGTGCTCCAGTCTAGCTGGGAAGCTGGCTGCTGGGGTTGGTCAGGAAGCCTCTGCACAGGAGTCCCTAACAGAGGCCCAGTCTGCCGGGACAACAGCACAGACACTGTAACGAAGAGGCGCCCCTCCATCACCTGACTGCCACACCTGTACCCCCATCCCGCCTACCTCCTAACTCTCACCATTAGCTGTTTGAGTCACATTTACAAAAATACATCCCTGAAACTGCTCGTTCACATCGGACAGATGGCACCCACCACTCTGACTATCCAAGAAGCAGTTACACAGGTGTACCCCAAAACAAGTAAAATGAAAAACAAAAGCAAGCATCAAGTCCTCTGACACAAGAATCACAAAGTCGTCTGTGGTGGGGACTCACCAGGACTTTCACCCACGGACAGTCATTACCAGGCTCTGGCCTCTGGAAGAAAGGGACAAGGAAACCTCCGGGGCTCACCTGGGGTGTCTGAGCCTGGGTGCTGCTTTTCTCTGCAGCAGGGAATCAGATTCTCAAGGCAGGCCCGGAGCTGACCCGGCAGGTGCTCCCCTGGACTTCAGCCTGCTCAGTCACCAACACTGCCAAGTGTAGAGTCCAGAATAGGCACCAGCACCTGGAGGATGAGCAGCGAGACTGTCACCCGTGGCTGGCTTCTCCCGCTGGCCCTTTACCCGAGCTGTGTGATCTGTGACCTTCTACCAGGAAAGTGGCACCAGTCATGTCAAAGGAAGCCAAGCCCAAAGATGCACGCCATAATCCCAACATTCAAGAAGCAGAGGCAGGAGGAGCAAGTATTCAAGGCCAGCCTGGGCTATGTAGCAAGACTTTGTCTTTAAAAAACAAAACAAAAAACTCTGTGCTGAATTCACAGGGAGTCCAGAGGACAGCTGTGCTAACAGATCACTAAATTCATGACACGAACACACTACCCCCCTGCTCTACACCATGATCCTCACACTTCCCACACCCCTGGGGCAACCCCAGTCTGAATATAATGTCTAAAGACTATGAGTTAATAAGGACAATCAATAAAAATCTCAAACTTTTTTTAAATTTCATTAGCCGGTTTTTCTTTTTTGGAAAATAACCATGACATTTTACTAACTATAAACCCTTTCCTCAGTTCCCACCTACAGTCCACCTGATCACATAAAGTAAAGGCATGTTCCATCTATCCAAACACACACAGATTCAAAGGACAGCACATCAGCACAATACACCGCTGACAGGCTTAATGGCTGTCTGCCCAATCTTTGTTCACCTCCCCGTTCCTAGGTTCTGTTACAGAATGCCTCAGAACTTCCACTCCATCTAACCAGTACCCCTCCCCCAACAGAATGTTCTCAAGCTGCAGAAGGAAGCCAGCCTGTCTCCCGAAAGCTCCATCAACATCACTTCCAAAATACCTTCCCACAGGGAGGTGAGAACTTTGTCCTGACCTAACATGGTCCAAGCATGACCAAAGTCATAGACACCTTACACTTAAGTCAGGTTCATGCAGTCAGGATAATTTTTGAAGCTGTGACAGTCAAGTCTATACAGTTCTACCTGAGACACAGCCCCGTGATGTAGGAACCAAGGAAAATGCTCTTGTGATTCCCAGCAAGGCCTCTGATATGCACACGCAGCATGTGTGACTCTGAGGCTGAGGGATGTGCTGCCTACCCAGGTCTCTTAAGGTCTAGGATACTCTGTGCCCTCAATATATATACATATACCTAACTCTGAACTCAAGCCTGGCTCCTCCATCCAGACAGACACCATTTAAACAAAACATTTCCCTCTTAAACTGTTTCCCAAGAAAACCTCACTTAAGACTCACAGGGTCAATTACAAGCTGCAGGAGAAGAGGGGCAGGGCTGGGGCCTCCAAGGCTCCAAGGCAGAGCATTCCTAGCCAGGAACGGCTGAAATACACGTCTCTTTGGCATCCATTCTGGGTACATCTCTCCCTGTTTTAGGATGCTATTCTACCATCTCCATCCCTAAGGGATACGCCACAGACGCAGGCAGGCGCGCGAGGGCGCGCACAAGCGCGCGCGCGTGCACGTGCACCCACCACCACCACCACCACCACCACCACCACCACCACCACCACCACCACCACCACCACCACCACCACCACCACCACCACCACCACCACCACCACCACCACCACCAGAAGCAATGGGCATTTTGGTTAGAATACTGCCCTGCTATTACAATTCGGTGTGGATCCGCGTTAAGGATCTGTAACCGCCCTAGACTACAAGCTGGACTTCAGTTCTGCCTGACCACCCGGAGGTTTGCAGCGCCGCGAACCTCCTAAGGAACAAGCCGTTCCGAGAGTGCAACCTGGGGGTCACTCAGATCCCTGCGACCCCAAGTTCCGGAAGAACCCCGGGATGCACAGCGACTGATGCAATTGCCAGGTCACGCTAGGGTTCGCAGGCGCCCCTCGCATCACCTGTCCCTTCCGCGGTCTCCGGCATCCCTTGTTCCTCCACGCTCCTCACACCCCATCCCTCCTCCGCGTTCCCTATGCCGCTCGCGTCCCCTGTCCTCCCCGGGAAGCCCAGTTCCTCACGTCCCTAGTCCGTCCTCCTCGCGGTCCCGGGCGCCCTCGCCGGCCACGCACCTGTCAGCCTTCTCTGAAGTCCCCAAGCCCCGCGGGTGGACGCGCACACCTCCCGCCCTGCCTCGTCCCAAGCCTGGCAGATTCACCTGCGCTCCGCCGTGCTCGACCTCAACCTCACAGGCCTCTCGGCGGCCCGCGGAAGGCCGGCGCAGCTCTAGCGTCCGCTCCGGGCCGGGGCCGCACGCGCACCATCCGGGCCTCCGGAGCCTCACACACGTGTCACCACGACCTTTAAAGGAGCCACACTGCAGCGTGCGCCCCGAGGCCGAGAGGAGAGGTACGTTTTCCTTTAAGAGGCGGGGCTAACTCCTAATCCTCGCCCTGGACCCGCCCTCCTCTGCTATTCGCGACTCACACGTCACCCCTCCGTCCCGCAGCCCTGCCAGTCTACGCGATGACGCAAGCGCGCAGCGCTAAAAGCTCCGGAAGCACCCTGGAGTCCATGGACTCGGCTGCAGCCTGGCGCGGTTCCCGCGGAGTAGGTGAGGTGGCGTCACTTCCGCCTGCGTGCCTGACCCTGCGATTGCGCAGGCCTGGGCTGGGCCGTGAATGGTTGGAAGCTGGGTGCCGGCTACGCACAGGTCTGAAGGCTCTGCAGTGACGCCGGTAGAGAGTGCAAGCCTGGCCATCCTGGGACCGAGTCTTTGAAGATTTCACCATTTGTTAATTTCTTGGCTGCTGGTGTCCTTTTGAAAAAGACCAGCAAGCGGGGCTTGGGATGAGGCCCCGGGTTCCATCCATCACGGCCTGAACCAGGCGTGGTGGCACAAGAATGCAGTTACTGCAATTCTGAGGAGTGGCTGTGGGGATGATGAGAATTTAAAAGTCGTCCTTGGGATAAGGATATTCTGTCTGTAGATAAATAAAGCAAAAGTCACTGCACCCTCTTTAGTGGCTGAGATTGGAGGATCATGGAAAATGTTGCCCGGGACCACGTGGGAAATCCTGTTAGCCTATGCCTATGTCTAGCTATTAAAATGCCCCCTTTAGAGCTAGAGAGGTTAAGAGGGCTTGTTCTTGCCCATGACTTCCTAGCGCCTACACACTGGCTCAAAACCTCCTGTAACACCGACTCCGCAGGACTTTTTGACCTCTAAGGGCACCTGCACACACATGTCATATGCTCACAGATGAACACACACATTAACGGTAAAGAAAAAAAGAAACGCTCTCTTAATTTGTTTTTGTTTTTGCTTTTCGAGACAGGGTGTCTCTGTGTAGCCCTGGCTGTCCTAGATCTCTATCTGTAGCCCAGGCTGGCCTCGAGCTCACAGAGATCTCCCTGCCTCTGCCTCCCGAGTGCTGGGATTAAAGGTGTGTGCTCCACCGGCTTTTTCTTAATTTATTAAAGATTTACTTTTATTATTTTAAGATAGATATTTCTATGTGAGTGTAGGTGCCTATGGAGGCCAGAAGTGTCCTATCCCCTTTTAGTGCTGGAATTACAGGCAACTCTGAGTTGCTGGGAACCAAACTCTGGTACTCTGTGAGAGAAGTATGGACTACTAACTGTTGAGCATCTCTCCAGTCCCAGAATCCTCCCTTTATTTAGGCTGATTTCTTTGTCCTCTGACCACTCTTCCTCCCCTGGCTGGAGCTGCCCCTATAAACCCACTATTCCAGCCTGGATACAATGTATTGCTACTCTCCCCAGCCTGATGCGAGCCCTCGAGCCCTCGCCAGATCACTGTTTCACCATGCTTCCTGTGCAGGAGCTGACACCTGGATGAGATCTAGGTTTTCATCCTGACTTTGCCCTAAGTAGCCTATTACTCTAGATATTTCTCTTACCTAGGGCTTGATTTCTCATCTCTGTGTGTGTGTGGAGGGGGAGTAGGCAGGGGATCACCTAGACCAGTAGTTCTTAGTCTTCCATGCTGCAACCCCTTAATACAGTTGCTCATGCTGTGGTGAGGCCCAACCATAAAATCTGCCTGGCTCTGCCTCCCAAGTGCTGGGATTAAAGGCGTGCCCCACCACCGCCAGGGATAAAGTTACTTTTGTTGCTACTTCACAACAGTAATTTTGCTACTGTTACGAATCATAATGTAAATATCTGAGATGCAGAATATCTAATATGACCCCCAACACAACCCACAGGTTAAGAACCACTGACCTAGAGACAGAGTCAATAGTTCAGTTGGCAGGTGATGAATTCAATCCCCGGAACCCACCAAAAACAAACAAACAAACAAACAAAAAACCCTGGCACAGTAGAGTTGTAGAAATGATATGAGAAATTATTATGAACACTTAGAGATCAGTAAAGGAAAAGCTCTTTATCTGCAACCAGATATGGCTAATGCTCAAAGTGAAAGCCAGCCTCGAATAGGAGGTTTTATTAACTTACATACATGTTAGGCCTGTGCATTTTGCATGCACGGTCACCCTTAAATCTCTTTCAGGTCCAGACTCCATTACATTTTCAACAAATTAAATAGAGATGGGAAACTCTAGTCTGACCACTTGGGCAGAGGGGAGATCTACACAGCAAAGATGTCGTCAGAATTATGTCTTGAGTACATCAGTGTTGCCTTTGAATAGTTGTTACCCAGGGTCATCTTGCCCACTGGCAGAATTATGCTTTTCCTGATAAGAGCATATGGGACTTAATGGCAGACCCGGGCTTAGAGGTAGTTATGGCCCTGCACAGGCCCGCTAAACTTCCTGATAGGCATGTTCTTTGGGGGTGAGCCTAATGGCTGGTCAGTCCTGGTGAACATTTACATCCTAGTGTTGCAAGTTTTGCTTCTTTGTTTCTTTTTTGGGGGTTGTGGTGGGGTGGGATTGTGGTTTGAGACAGGGTTTCTTTGTCTATGTAGCCCTGGCTGTCCTGGAACTATCTCTGTAGACCAGGCTGGCCTCAAACTCAACTCACAGAGATCCACCTGCCTCTGCCTCCTAAGTGCTGGGCTCAAAGGCATGCACCACCACCACCACCCAGTAAGTTTTGCCTATTCCTTTTTTTTTTTTTTTTTTTTTTTTTTTTTTTTTTTTTGAGACAGAGTTTCTCTGTGTAGCTTTGCACCGCCTTTCCTGGAACTCGCTTTGGAGACCAGGCTGGCCTTGAACCCACAAAGATCCGCCTGCCTTTGCCTCCGGAGTGCCGGGATTAAAGGTGTGCGCTGCTGCTGCCGCCGCCGCCGCCCAGTAAGTTTTGCTTATTTCTTAACAGGCCTAATTAGCACACTACTTATCTTTGGGTATTTTAGAGGCAGCACTCCCTTAGCTAAATCCTACTGTGTGTGATGTCGTGTATCCTAGGCAAATCGTTAGGAAATGGTTTACACCATCAATTCTGGTTGGGTTTCTCCTACAGGTGCAGCGTGCACTTGTAATGAGACAGTATGTGGGGACTCCCTCCGTTCTCCGAGCTCTTGTCCTACCGTCCCGCAAGAATGGTGTGGACAGACAGCTAACGGTACATAGGGGAGCTACTTTACTGCTGATTCAGGATTAAAATAAGTTAAAACAGATGGCCCGTCTACCCCTAACAGTAATCCCAGTGTTTGATGGCAAAGACAGGTAGATCTTGTGGCTGCCTGGCCAGCTGGCTTAACTACTTGGCAGGTTCAGGCCAGTGGGAGACCTTGTCTTTTTTTTTTTTTTTTTCCCTTTAAGTGGCATTTTGGAGGAATAACACCTGAGTTGGTTTTCTGGCTTCCACATTCACCCCATACACACAAACACCAACACTTATAACTGCTGAACTTATAATAAGTAGCAAATACCAAGCTGGCCACAGTTAAATACCCAGGGCAACCCATAAAAAACATACTGTCCGCCTGGCGGTGGTGGTGCACACCTGTAATCCCAGCACTTGGGTGGCAGAGCCAGGCGGATCTCTGCGAGTTCAAGGCCAACCTGGTCTACAAAGTGAGATCCAGGACAGGCACCAAAACTACACAGAGAAACCCTGTCTCGGGGAAAAAAAAAAAAAAAAAAAGCCGGGCAGTGGTGGTGCACACCTGTAATCCCAGCACTCAGGAGGCAGAGGCAGGTCTCAGTGAGTTCAAGGCCAGCCTGGTCTACAGAGCTAGTCCAGGACAGGCTCCAAAGCTACAGAGAAACCCTGTCTCAAAAGAAACAAACAAACAAAAACAAAAACAAATAAAAACCATACTGTTGTTCCCATTTTACAAATGAGAAGACAGCACATTCAAGACCCCAGCTCCAGGGCTGGTGAGATGGCCCAGTGGGGAAGCACCACACTTGATGGCCTGCGGTTGGAAGCTGTTTAGGTAGTTCTGCCCTTCCCACCCCACCTCATCTCTGAAATTGGTCCAGTAACTTCCAACTGCTGGGTTTCTCCCCTTGAATGCTCCCCTGGGCACCTCAAACTCCTCATGTCCTGAAATGGACACATCTCCACCTTCTCAGAAGAGGCCATTCTTCTACCCTGTTTGCCCATTTAAACTGGTGGGGCAACACTCAGACTCCAGTCTCCTCCAGCTGTCTTCAGTGGGTGAGGCGGGACTACCCTTGTCCTCCCTCTCCCTCCTGTGGTCTGGCAGTGGCCCTCTCTACCTGTGAGAGTTCTCCTGAGACACTGACACCACCCACCTCCATTCTCTGTCCTTCCAATTGAGGTGGTGCCAATTCCCTGCCATGGCCAGTTTCTGGTTGGCCACTGCTCCCCAGCTGGCATCTCTGGTGTTCTTCAGAGAGAACATGACCAGGCTCTGTATCTCTGATCACAGAGATATTCTGGTTATTTTACTTGAGACTGTACAGCTATTACCCTATAGCAACTGCTGGCCTATGTCTTGGGCTCCCCCCCTCAGGTAAACCACCAGCCTGTTGTGGGATAGTGCAGTTGGTAAGTGCTTGCCTAGCATGCGTGAAGTCTTGGGTTTGATTCCTAGCACCTCATAAATGGGGTGTGGTGGTGTACACTTGTAATCCCAAAAGGATCAGAAGTTCAGGGTTGCACTTAATGACAGTGTAATGGTATGTTTCTTTGGTCCTGCCCAGACCCCATGGTCCTGCAGCCACTTATAAAATAATCATTCAGAGGCTTAATGTTATTTACAAACTGTATGGCCTGTGGCTCAGGCTTCTTCCTAGCTAGCTCTTTCATCTTAAATTAACCCATTTCTATTCATCTGTTTTGCCACGTGGCTATGGCATTGCCGGTCTGCTGGCATCTTGCTGCTCCTTGGGCAGTGGCTAGGCATCTCTCCCTCCTCTTCTTTCTTCTCTCCATATCTCCGCTTGGATTCCCCACCTGCCTCTAAGCTGCCCTGCCATAAGCCAAAACAGCTTTATTTATTAGCCAATGGGAACAGCACATTCACAGCATACAGAAAGATGTCCCACAGCACTTCTCCTTTTCTATCTAATCAAAAAGGAAGGTTTTAACTTTAACATAGTAAAATTACATATAATAGAACAGTCATCAAGCAAGAATTACAGTTACAATATCTAGTCTATTTGTATTTGGCAAAATTAAAGAAAATATTCTCTTTATCCTATATTTGTGAGTCTAAGTTTTTATATCTAATTTATCTTTTATTATTTATAACCAAGAAAAATTACAATTATAACTAGTCTTCAACTACATCAAAGACCCCAAAAGGATATAATATTTACCTAAGTAAACAGGAAGTGCATTGTAAGCAACTTCCAAAAATCTAGAATGACAGAGACAGCTAGCTGCCTGGACAGTCACCCAAAGTTCCTCTGCAACATTGGGGCATCCATCTTCAGCCTATAGGCCTAGAGTTTTTTAGTCCCTTCTCCCTGTGTCTTGTAGAATATCTGGCAGTCTCCTCTGTGAAGCAGGAACCTGAAGGACCAACTCGCCTTGTTTTGGTAAAATTTTGTGACTAGCCTCAGGATATAGAAGATCCTGTCTCAAAAACTAACCTATTAAGTTTGTT